GCTTAATTATCTAATTATACTTTTCCCTCACGTCTTTTTATCAGAAATGTTCTCGTAAGAAAGCTATCAGAGCTCTTCGTAAGAATAATTCTGACGTTGTACAGGCCGTTATGGTTAGTATGGACTCGTGAAGTAAAGTTGGTTTTTGATCGAGCGATTCTAACGTTAACTATTTTTATAGGCATTGACTGTATAAGTAGTTTGCTCAGTGTAGACTATTGTTTACATTCAAGAACTCCTAACGTTCGATGATAGGAATCTTCTTAGAACCTTTATATAAGTCACAACTTGTCTATTTCATAAACAAACCATTAGAATTTGGAGAAAATTCTTTTCAACAATATTATGTTGGTTATCATAAAATACACAATTTCAAACAATGACACACTTTATTCACTTGAATTAGTCGCATCTGACAGTGTCAGGCCTACTCGATTAGCAGTCAACTTCACTTTGCTTTCTTGCGACAAGTCACGAGTTGGATTGTATAGTTTCAAGAGTTCCTATAATGGTAAACAAACTTTATGAGCCATCGAGGATTACGGCTAGATAACCCAAGAAATGATCCACATCTTACAGCGTGCTTGCGAGTACTCTTTAGAAACGTCAAAATGTCTTGCGCGTCTTTGGTCAGAATGTGGATTAATTTAGTGTCGGTGATGCCTCGATTATCTCGAAACTTTTGTTTCAATTCGCTCTCCCACAAAGTATTCTTGTTGCGAGCCACGAACTATCAATACAATAGAGAAAAAATGTATCCTATAAGATTCGATGTCAAAGGTCTAGTAACGGCCACGCACGAGATCATCTAAAGAGGAACACCGCAACCAGACGAGAATCAACAATTGATTTAACGATTATGCAAATACCTGAATTCTCACTTCTCTTAATAATTGTCTATATATCGACAATACGCTATTATTACTCATGGTTTTTGAACGTTTCTTTGGCAAAAAAATTTGCACATGACCTGAATAGAGATGAGATCTGCAAGATATTTTTTGTGCGGTAATAATGTCTTCGTATGCTCCTAGGAAAATTTCCACCAGTGGGAAGAAAAAGCAAACGCAAAAGTACCAGAATACAAAGGCATTTAAACCGAACAGAAACTCAAGGATATCAAAATACATAAATGCATTGCCTATAAACGGAGTGTGAGTTTTCTATAACATACAGAAAATAGCAATGCAGGAATGCAAGAACGACTGATCAGACGATTGAATTACTTGCAGCTGTAATAGGTGTAGAGAGATAATTGAATGGAGAAAGCAATTCAAGAAATATAAACCGCTCACTCAACCCAAGAAATGGTATGTTAGATTTCTATTAACTTGGTATATCGTTATGGTAACTCACACTTACTATTGGACAAATTCTAGTGTTGGGTGTTTAGAGAAAACAGTAAAAGAAGCATATCACATACTCTGCAACAAGTGTGCGAGCGCAAATGGTGTTTGTGCCAAATGCCAAGGGGCTGTGGACATTAAATCTGGGTAGGTTTTTTTTTCTCTCTTGTTTCCAATTTACATGTAACGTTTGTGATGGATGGGAGAAGCATTACAATATTGTATTTCTTTGATAACAGAGAATCAGATCAAGATTCAAGGAACTTGGAAAAGATATTACCACTACTAAGCGAGAGAAAACGACGCACCTATTTAAGAAAGCTAGAGAAAGGAGAAGAGATAGACATAACTGCAGAGTATGGTGAAGG